TACAAACTACCGCAATTAGTATTTCTCGAGGCTTTCTACATCAAGAACTTAAAAGCCTAGCATTAATGAGGGGATCAAAGCCTCTAGAGAGTTAGATCTTTTTCTTTGATCTGTTTGATTATATCATGCTATGTTATTGCTTGTGTATACACCTAATTGGCGTAATATATAAGCTGTCGACTTGTTTTGATTTAACTACATGACTATAACTCTGAAATAGAACTGAATTATTGTAAAAAACCTTCCTACACTGTAATAAACGAAAACTTGGTTTTAACGACGTCAAACATCCTCGGACTCGTGAAAAGTAAAATTGATCAACATGACACGAGCGTAGGACAACGAAATGACTTAGCTAAAATAATGACCTTGCTTTCCATTTCTTTGTTGATCAATTTCGCCTGTCACATTTCATTGCTGAGCTCAAAATTCACCATCTTTATTCACTTATCACTACTCGCGATGACTTCGACAGTGCTGATCCTAGCAGTATGGAGCTAGGATGCCTGTCTCATATGAACTCAGTTAAATGACCTTGCTCTTCATGAGTTCTCGTAGCACGGGTCACGGGTTTGATTCTTGTCAGGGACTAAGATTTTTTCTGTGTCCTACGCCCGTGTAATGTTGATCATTTTCATCTTTCATACTTCGTTACCGAACTTAAAATTCACCATCTTTATCACTTATCAATCCTCGGACTCGGCTTGTTTACGTTATATTCAAAACTGACGGATGGTGATGNTACAAACTACCGCAATTAGTATTTCTCGAGGCTTTCTACATCAAGAACTTAAAAGCCTAGCATTAATGAGGGGATCAAAGCCTCTAGAGAGTTAGATCTTTTTCTTTGATCTGTTTGATTATATCATGCTATGTTATTGCTTGTGTATACACCTAATTGGCGTAATATATAAGCTGTCGACTTGTTTTGATTTAACTACATGACTATAACTCTGAAATAGAACTGAATTATTGTAAAAAACCCGGCTTCCTACACTGTAATAAACGAAAACTTGGTTTTAACGATGTCAAACATCCTCGGACTCGTGAAAAGTAAAATTGATCAATATGACACGAGCGTAGGACAACGAAATGACTTTGCTGAAATAATGACCTTGCTGTCCATTTCTTTGTTGATCAATTTCACCTGTCACATTTCATTGGTGAGCTTAAATTTCACCATCTTTATTCACTTATCACTACTCGCGATGACTTCGACAGTGCTGATCCTACCAGTATGGAGCTAGGATGCCTGTCTCATATGAACTCAGTTAAATGACCTTGCTCTTCACGAGTTCTCGTAGCACGGGTCACGGGTTTGATTCTTGTCAGGGACTAAGATTTTTTCTGTGTCCCACGCCCGTGTCATGTTGATCATTTTCATCTTTCATACTTCGTTACCGAACTTAAAATTCACCATCTTTATCACTTATCAATCCTCGGACTCGTCTTGTTTACGTTATATTCAAAACTGACGGATGGTGATGGGTTATGTTTGAGGTCAATTGACACCTGTCAAAACAAGGTATCTGCTGAGCAGTAGCACGTTGAAACTGAAGTTGACATTATCTTATGTCATAGTGCTCCAACTTATTCGCGTGGCGTTTTCGAGGAACTGGAGAGAACGTGGCGCAACAGCCTTTCGTACCAGTCTCAACAGTTATTCAGTGGCATGGAAATCACTCAGTGTAGCCATCTGATTGGCTAACTTGTACAAAGGTTTGCTGGGTGGCCACGGTAAGCCGCGCCGCACTGTGAAAGCACCCTCTATTTAACAAATAAAGAAGCCTCAACTGTGGTCTGTTCTATTGCAAAGCACACAGGAAGCGGGTAGA